CGTGTGGGTCAGGCGGGCTCCCAACTCCTGACTTCAGGTGATCCCCCCTCCCCGACCTCCCAAAGTGCTGGGATTACAATCGTGAGCCACCGTACCTGGCCTAAACAAACTGTCAAAATTGAGTTTAGGGGAGAAGACCCCACAGAGTTAGAGCCACGTGAGCTGGTAAATCCTAGGACAAGGACTGGCTCTGGAAAATGGCCCATCATGAAATTTCCTTCCCTGAACTGGGCTCCTGGGCCCGATACAGGAGGCATCCCAGACTCTGGCATGCAAGGAACGTGGATGGAGGAAGAATGTGGCCACCAAGAGTGTGCACACCTGGGCATGGGACTGCCTTAGTTCCAAGCCCACTCTGCCGCCTCATTCCTCGGGTACTCTGCCTCGGGTGGGTCTCCTCATCTGTCTGTGAGATACTGATAGCACCATATTGTAGGGTGGTCCAGGAGATAAATGCACTAACACATATAAGCAGCACAGACTAGTACTGCATAACAAATGACATATTATTATCACTACATGGGATTCTGGGGACTTTGCAGCTCAGTTGATGAAAGAAATACTGATCTAAACTGAGAATGAGTGTACAGAAAGCAAATGTGCAGAGAATTTGCCTGCTTGCTCCACTCCTCAGTATTTTTTTTATTATTTTTTTGAGACGGAGTCTCACTGTGTCACCCAGGCTGGAGTGCAGTGGTGTGATCTTGGCTCACTCTAGTCTCCGCCTCCTGGTTTCAAGTGATTCTCCTGCCTCAGCCTCCCGAGTAGTTAGGACTACAGGCGTGCACCACCACGCCCGGCTAATTTTTTGTATTTTTAGTAGAGACGAAGTTTCACCATGTTGGCCAGGCTGGTCTCAAACTCCTGACCTCAAGCAGTCCACCCACCTCGGCCTCCCAAAGTGCTGGGATAGCAGGCGTGAGCCACCATGCCTGTTGCTTCCTTCCAGAAGGCTCCTTGGTGGGGTTAGGTGCCCTCTCCCTCACCCCATCATAAGCATGCTGTCTCGTCACTCTCAGTAGAGGGCTGTGAGAGGGTCGCTCTGTGTCTGTATTGTGGGCGCCCTGTGCAGGGCTGGCCCAGTAGTGCTCTGTTAAGTGTCTGTTGGCATCTGGTCTTAGAGGCTTCTAAGTGGTGGAGATTATAGGGAGACCTTGTACGGTGGCTTAAAGTTTGGAGAATTTTGACGTTAGAGGATCCAGATGCAAATTCTGGTGCCACTCCCGTAGTTCCAATCACATTTCCCCTCTAAACCTGGACATGCACGTCCATCTGTGGAATGGGGGAAACCTCAAGCCTCAGGTCCCTGTGATGACAGGAATGAATGCACACTGTCGTCCATGGGCGCTAGATGTGCAGGAATAACTTGGCCAGCCGGAATTCCGGGTGTAGTCAGGTTCCAGAGTTGTTATGGAAGGCAAGGGTGGAGCATGATCAGTATTATCGTTAGGAAGGCGCTGTGGTGGAGACTAAGCTCTGATGTGTTCATTCAGTCCAGAGGAGCTCGTTTTCCCTGTGCTTTGCAATAGATTGCTGGTTAAGGTCTCCAGATGAGCAGCGGGCTTTTAGGGGCCTTTTTTTTTTTTTTTTCCCCCCAAGATGGCGTCTCACTCTGTCACCCAGGCTGGAGTGCAGTGCTGCGATCTCAGCTCACTGCAGCCTCCACCTCCCAGGTTCAAGCAGTTCTCCTGCCTCAGCCTCCTGAGTAGCTGAGATTACAGGCATGTGCCACCATGCTTGGCTAATTTTTGTACTTTTTAGTAAAGACGGGGTTTCGTCTTGTTGGCCAGGCTGGTCTCGAATTCCTGACCTCAGCTGATCCGCCTACCTTGGCCTCCCAAAGTGCTGGGATTACAGGCATGAGCCACCGCACCTGGCTAGGGGCCATTTTGTAGGGAAATGTGTTTGTGTGTGTGTGTGATTTCTTTCTTTCTTTTTTATTTATTTATTTATTTTGAGACAGAGTTTTGCTTCGTTGTCCAGTCTGGGGTTCAGTGGTGCCATCTTGGCTCACTGCAACCTCTGCTTCCCGGGTTCAAGCAATTCTTGTGCCTCAGCCTCCTGAGTAGCTGTGATTATAGGCGCCTGCTACCATGCCCAGCTGATTTTTTGTATTTTAGTAGAAACGAGGTTTCACCATCTTGCCTAGGCTGGTCTCAAACTCCTGAGCTCAGGCAATCCGCATGTCTCGGCCTCCCAAAGTGCTAGGATTACAGGCATGAGCCACTGTGCCTGGCTGTTTTTTTTTTTTTTTTTCTGTCACCCAGGCTGGAGTGCAGTGGCAAGATCTCAGCTCACTGCAGCCTCCGTCTCCTGGGCTCAAGCGATTCTCCCACCTCAGCCTCTCAAGCAGCTGGGACTACAGGTTCATGCCATCACGCCCGGCTAGTTTTTGCATTTTTTTTTTTTTGTAGAGGCGGGATTTCGCTCTGTTGCCTGGGCTATTCTTAAACTCACAGACTCAAGCAAGCCACCCGCCTCGGCTTCCCAAATGCTGGGATTGTAGGCCTGAGCCACTGCGCCCAGCCGTGTGTGCTTGTTTAACACCAGAACTCCACGCAGCACAGTGGGTGAGGTGCCTGCTGCAGCATTCCCCACTGACGCCGTCGCACGACCCGTGGGGAGCTGTGGGTCCTCACCTCCCATTTCCCAGACGCCAGCTCCTGTGTGCAATGGGGTGGGATTGCCTGCTCCATTTATGTGGTTATTTCTCTCTCTTTTGAATTGTGGTAAAATATACAGAACATCATATTTATCATTTTGGCCTATTGTAAGTGTAAATTTAATGGCATTAAATCATTCACAAGTGTGTAGCCATCACCACTGTCTACACCTCCAAGTTTTTATCCTCTACAAAAACTCTGTACCCACTAAACAATAACTCCCCGTTTCCCCTTTCTAACCCCTGGAAACCTCTATTCTACTTTGCACTTCTATGATTTCAGCTACTCTGGCTACTTCAGGTGAGTGGAATTATACAATATGTATTATTTTGTGTCTGGCTTATTTCACTTTACATAATGTTTTCAGGATTCATCTGTGTAGCTTGTGTCAGAATTGCCTTCCTTTTGATTCCTTTTTCTGGTGGAATATTTTAGTGTGTGGATATACCACATTTTGTTTATGCATTCATCTCTTTTTTTTTTTTTTTTTTTGAGGTGGAGTCTCACTCTGTTATCCAGGCTGGAGTGCAGTGGTGAGATACCAGCTCACTGCATCCTCTGCCTCCTGGGTTCAAGTGATTCTACTGCCTCAGCCTCCTGTGTAGCTGGTATTACAGGCGCCCACCACCAAACCCGGCTAATTTTTGTGTTTTTAGTGAGATGAGGTTTCACCATGTTGGCCAGGCTGGTCTTGAACTCCTGACTGACCTCAAGTGATCTGCCTGCCTCGGCCTCCCAAATATTCTTTCATCTATTGATGAACACTTGAGTTGTTTCCACACTTTGGCTACTGCGAGTATATAAATATCTCCCTGAGTCCCTGCTTTGAGTTTTTTTGGGGTGTATACCTATGAGCAGAATTGCTAGGTCCTAGGGTATGTCTATGTTTAACCTTTTGAGAAACTGGCAAACTGTTTTCCACACTGGCTGCACCATTTTACATTCCCACCAACAATGCACAAGGCTTCTAACTTCTCCAGTCCTCACCAGCACTTGTTATTTTCCGTGTTTTAAAATTATAGCCATCTTAGTGTGTGTAGAGTTTTCTTACCCTCTTATTCCTCAGATAAGGGAGACTTGTTTTGTCTAGGTGACGTGCATCTACGAAACAGTTCCACTGTAATGGTGGGCACTTCCTCAGACTGCCTTTTCATTCTACTGTTAATACATATGAAATGTTGCAAATAAACACGTCAAACATTCCTATTAAAAATTTGAACAAATTTTAGGCCAGGCACAGTGGCGTACACCTGTAATCCCACTTTGGGAGGCAGAGATGGGCAGATCACTTGAGGCCGGGAGTTCTAGACCAGCCCGGCCAATATACTAAAACCCTGTCTCTACTAAAAACACAAAATTTAGCCAGGTGTGGTGGTACACACCTGTAGTTCCAGTTCTCAGGAGGCTGAGGCAGGAGAATTAGCTTGAACCTGGAAGGTGGAGGCTGCAGTAAACAGTGATTGTGCCACTGCACTTCAGCCTGGGCAATAGTGTGAGACTCTATCTCAAAAAACAACAAAAAACATATTTTAAAACAGATTAAATTTTTTTTTTCTTTCGGGATGGAGTCTCACTCTGTCATCCAGGCTGGAGTGCAATGGCGTGGTCTCTGCTCACTGCAACCTCCACCTCCCAGGTTCAAGCGATTCTCCTGCCTCAGCGTCCCCAGTAGCTGGGACTACAGGCGCACGCCACCACACCCAGCTAATTTTTGCATTTTTGGTAGAGATGGGGTTTCACTGTGTTGGCCAGGCTGGTCTCGAACTCTTGACCTTGTGATCTCCCTGCCTTGGCCTCCCAAAGTGCTGGGATTACAGGTGTGAGCCACTGTGCCCGGCCTAGATTTTAAATTTTAAACAGAGTGAAAGTACCCTTTGAATGCCTCCCTGTTTCTGGCCCCTCCCCAGCCTGCTGTCAGGCAGTATCTCTCTTGAGTTTTCCATGCGTTCACAGACGCTTGTGAACATGTATGAAGGCGTAGTTTTCCATTTTTTTATGCAAAAGTATTGTGCCATTTTTATTGTTCAATGACTTGGGGTTTTTTTTTGTTGTTGTTTTTTACTGACCAAATCAACAGTCTTTCCATGTTGGTATTTGTAGAACTGTCTCATTCTTGTATTTTTGTTTATTCCATAGTGTTGTGGGGTGTATTGTACTTAATATTAAGTACAGAAATGATGTGTGGCACTGGCTATTGTTAAGAACAATGTACGTCCCGATTCAGCATCTGGACATCCGGCCTCTGTTTTCACACTCGTGCAGAGCTCCGGGCTCACGTCCAGAGGTCAGTTTCCTGCTGAGCATGCCTTGTTGACCTCCTGTATTGCCTCTTTGCAGGCCAAGAATAAGGAGACGGGTACTTTGGCTGCAGCCAAAGTCATTGAAACCAAGAGTGAAGAGGAGCTGGAGGACTACATTGTGGAGATTGAGATCCTGGCCACCTGTGACCACCCCTACATCGTGAAGCTCCTGGGAGCCTACTATCACGACGGGAAGCTGTGGGTGAGGCTGCCGCCCCACCTGCCCCGGCTCAGCCCCCATGGCCTGGTGCTCTGGAGCTAGCCTGGTCCTGAACTCTTCAGCTTTTTCTCAGCATCTGCTTTGAGGGCGAGGGCTAGGGCAAGGAGATGGTGAAGTAGGGAGCTCCTGGCCACCTGCTGTCCTCTTCCTGTGGTGCCTCCCCCTTGGGAGTAGCACCAGTGATTTGGAGCAGAAAGCTCTACTGCCTGGCCTCGAATCCCAGCCCTGCTGTTTACGAGCTCAATAATCCTAACCAAGTTCCTAACCTCTCCATACCTTAGTTTCTCCACCTGTAAGGTGGGGCTAATAATAGTACCTACCTCATAGAGTGATTACTGCGATGAAGTGAGTTAATTTATGATACGTGCTTAGAAGAGTGCTGGGCACATGTAAGAGCCCAGGAAGTGTTGGCTGTTTTATTATTTGTCACAGTAGCACTACTTCTGCTACTGCTACAGCTGCTACATGGAGATCCTTCTCGATGGCTGTACTAAAGAAGGGGACTCGACCAGCCTGGGCAACATGGTGAAACCACATCTCTACTAAAAATACAAAAATTAGCTGGGCATGGTGGCACGTGTCTGTAGTCCCAGCTATTTGGGAAGCTGAGGCAGGAGGATCGCTTGAACCCCAGAGGCGGAGGTTGCAGTGAGCTGAGATAGCACCACTGCACTCCAGCCTGGGCGACAGAGCGAGAGTCTGTTTCAAAAAAAAAAAAAGAAAAAAAAAAGGCGGGGGCTCTTTACCAGTCCCCTATTCTCCATCAGCATCCTCACCCTTTGATGAGCAGTGTGGATGCAGCTTCAAGCCCTGTCTTCCAAACTCAGCAACACCCCTCAACTTCTTTTTTTTTTTTTTGAGATGGAGTCTCGCTCTGTTGCCCAGGCTGGAATGCAGTGGTGTGATCTTGGCTCACTGCAAGCTCCGCCTCCTGGGTTCAAGTGATTCTCCTGCCTCAGCTTCCTGAGTAGCTGGGATTATAGGCATGCACCACCACGCCCAGCTAATTTTTGTATTTTTAGTAGAGACGGGGTTTTGCCATGTTGGCCAGGCTGGTCTCAAACTCCTGACCTCAGGTGATCTGCCAGCCTCACTCAGCCTCCCAAAGTGCTGGGATTGCAGGTGTGAGCCACCATGCCCAGCCCTCTTCATTTTTTTGAATTCTTCCAAAGAAATCTATCTTCTGACTGTGCCCTTCTCTATTGTTGGGCATTTAGGCTGTTTCCTTTTCTTTCTTTCTTTCTTTTTTTTTTTTTTGCTGTTTATAAAAACTCTGTGATGGACACCCTTTGTTTGTTTTGTGTTCTTGTTTGAGTTTCTTATGAGATTTTTTTTTTTTTTTTTTGAGATGGAGTCTCCACTCTGTTGCCCAGGCTGGAGTGCAGTGGCGTGATCTCAGCTGACTGCAACCTCCACCTCTCAGGTTCAAGCAATTCTCCTGCCTCAGCCTCCTGAGCAGCTGGGACTACAGGTACCCACCCCCATGCCCGGCTGATTTGTATATTTTTAGTAGAGACGGGGTTTCACCATCTTGGTCAGGCTCTTCTCGAACTCCTGACCTCAGGAGATTCACCCGCCTCAGCTGTCCAAAGTGCTGCGATTACAGGCATGAGGCACTGTGCCTGGTGAGAATTTTTAAGATTCTTAAGTGTCTATTGACAAACTGGCTTCACAGAGCCACTTTTTATATTAACCAAAGGAGATCTCCCATTGACCCCGCCACCCACCCAGCCACCCACTTTCCTGTCCATTCATCTTCCTCTGTGTGCATACAGCGTTTGTTGGACTGCTGACTCTGTACCCATTAAGAAAAATATCTATTATGTTTCTATTCCTGTTATTGATTGTGGCTGGATACCAGGTTCATAACTTTCCCAGGTCCAAAGATACTACTCATAATAGCTAGCATTTATTGAGAGTTTACTGTGTGCTGGGCCTTTTGCTGTGAGTTTCACTTGCATTATGTGGTTTAATCTTCATTCTGTGAGGTTGTTGCTTTTTATCCCATCTTACAAGAGAAAATGAGAAACAAAAAAGCTGTGTGAGCTGCTCCCCAGGCCACGCAGCTAGCAAGTGGCAGAGCTGGAAAACCAGATAGAGCCAAACACAGTTTGTAAGTAGATTGTGACTGTCACGCTGTTATTTAAATAAATACATTAGACTTTTCTGTCCCGAAGTTGTCACTTTACGCTGGTGCTTTCTCCTCCAGGCCCACTGCTGTGGCCAAGACACACCCTCCTCTTTTGTAGCTGCCCTGACAGCCTGTATTTGTTACTTTGTAGAAGGCACTACCTCCTCCAATTTGCCGTTTAGACACTGAGATCAAAGAAGGTGGCCCTGGAGCTGGGTAGATAAAGAGGGGGAAAGGATGGCAGACAGGAGAGACAGCATGGGCAGCGGTGTGGAGGCATGACAGGTTCAGCACGTTTGGGAGATGGCTAGTCTAGGGCCAGGGCAGCAGGTGGTGAAAGATGAGGATGGTAAAGTAATTGGGGGCCATGTTGTAGAAGGCCCCGCATGCCAAGGTGAGGACTTTGCCCTCAATCTTTTACTGCAGTGGTTCTCAAAGTACAACCCTTGGAGCAGCACATCAGCCTCAGCTGGAACTTGTTAAGACATGAAGGTTATCAGACCCCTCCTGAGGCCCATCGAGTCAGTAACTTTGAGGTGAGGCCCAGCAATTGGCATTTTAAGGTAGGGCCCAGCAATTGAAGTGACTCTGATGCGCGTTTAAGCTTGAGAATTACTGTTTTCGGTAATGGAGACCTAGTGGTACTTTTCTGCAGGGGAGAGGCATATTCTGTGTTATAGAAAGAAGTCCGGTTTGAGAGGACAAGAGAAAAACTTGAGGCAGTTTGAGAAGTGGTAAGAATAGACTAGGCCAGGAGCCCAAGGATATGATGTGGAACATCATCTGGTCAAGGGAGGCTTCAGAGGAAGGGACATTTGAATGGGGTCTTGCAGGATGCATAGGAGTCCTCTGGGGAGATAAGAGAAGGAAGAACAGTCAAAGTAGAGGGACCAGCAAATGGGCAGAAGCATAGAAGGGAGAAGTCCAGAAATACAGGTTGAAGGATTACCCACCCTTTGATATTTCCTTCTGTGTGATGGTTCTCAGGCCCATCTTGTGACCAGAGCTTCTGTGTGGCTCTAGCAGCCAACTTTTCCATGTTGATATCTTTGACAAAACCAGTTCTGAACCTGGGGTCTGCTGTCAGGGACTTTGGGGTGAGAAACTGGCTGTTCCCCAAGTGTCTTGGGTGCCTTCTGTAGCCATGGCTGGCAGGGACAGACTTTCCCCCGAGTGGGGTGGAGGTCATTCACCACCCCACCCCATGTGCAATTTGACAAGATTAGCTCATTTTTGTTCAGAATTTGTAATCATGGCAAAATCCGTCTGTACTTCCTTATCACTACTTCCACTTTTGAATATCAAGTGGTGCAAGTTGGAGAAAAACAAGCGAAAATGCTCTAGACCAGTAGAACTATAATGTGAGCCACATGCATCATTTTACATTTCTTTTCTTTTCTTTTGTGATGGAGTTTTGCTCCTGTTGCCCAGGCTGGAGTGCAATGGCGCAATCTCGGCTCACCACAACCTCCACCTCCTGTGTTCAAGCGATTCTTCTGTCTCAGCCTCCCGAGTAGCTGGGATTACAGGCATGTGCCACCACACCTGGCTAATTTTGTATTTTTAGTAGAGACAGGGTTTCTCCATGTTGGTCAGGCTGGTCTTGAACTCCCAATCTCAGTTGGTCTGCCTGCCTTGGCTTCCCAAAGTGCTGGGATTCAGGTATGAGTCACTGCGCCCGGCCTACGTGTATCATTTTATATTTCTAACAGCCACATCCAAAAGAGCAAAAAGAAACAGATGAAATTAGTTTCAATAATATAATTTATTTAACCCAGTATATAAAAATATGATCGTTTTGACATGTGATCCATATAAACAGTTATTGAGCTATTTTACTTTTTTCATTCTAAGTCTTCAAATCCAGTGTGTATTTTACACTTTTAGCGCATCTCAATTCAGGAGCTAAATTTTCATCAGAAATCCTTGATCTGTGTTTAGATGTCTTATAGTCGAGAAAGGTAGATTCACACACCCAAATTGTTCCAATATTCTTTTTTTTTTTTAAAGATGGAGTCTCGCTCTGTCGCCCGGGCTGGAGTGCAGTGGCCGGATCTCAGCTCACTGCAAGCTCCGCCTCCCAGGTTCACGCCATTCTCCTGCCTCAGCCTCCCGAGTGGCTGGGACTACAGGTGCCCGCCGCCTCGCCCGGCTAGTTTTTTGTATTTTTAGTAGAGACGGGGTTTCACCGTGTTAGCCAGGATGGTCTCGATCTCCTGACCTCGTGATCCACCCGTCTCGGCCTCCCAAAGTGCTGGTATTACAGGCTTGAGCCACCGCACCCGGCCTCCAATATTCTTAAACATTTCCCAGTAACTGAACCAAGTCTCAGTTTTCAAATTTAAATGAATTAGAAGAGAATGGAATAATACATTTAGGTCTCTACCCTTGCCACATTTCGAACACTCAGTAGCACGTGTGTTAGTGCCTCCTCTATTGGACGGCATAGACAGTGAAACTCTAGGTGACAGCCAGGGCCCAAAATGAGTGACTGCAAGAAGGCCTGGGCTGACCTGGTGAATGTCCTCTGCTCATAACTACCCCCATCCTCCACCCCCAGCCCTGAGCCAGATTTTGGCCTCTGGGCAAATCTTTCAAGGGCGAGGTGGGGAGCGGTGGTCTCTTTTCCACCGTGTATTACAGGAGCGAGAGTGAGTTCTTTGGGAAGAAAAGCTCTGGGTCTGGCATTTGGCCCATTTCTGAATGTACATATCTCCACTATGGTCAGTTTCAAGCTGCCAACTCGATGTCGCTAACAGAGTTGGGAAGGCCCCTGGCCTCACGGAGCTCAAAGTCTAGTGGCAGAAACAGATGGTGTGAAAGCCAGTGAAGACGTAGATGAGAGGACTTG